AACTAGCAACCAAAAGGAAATTTTATCGGATCCAAAGCCACACACATCTTTCTGAGCAAAAAGCTTATATACGCTTCAGCACCCGAACTTCTTTCAAGTGTTTGATGTAATTTCGATCCTCTATGCTCTGCATGGCTGGACAAATATGATATCAAAAGAGGCATGGGTATAGAAGTGATGTGGCAATACCACCTGCGCCACTTTATCATTGGCCGTCATTGGCGCGTAAGATAGTCCAGCGCATATTTATCTAACCAAGGACATACTGCGCGGAGTCGCAAACGCATTTGGAAGATAATCGTTGTCATGCGAGAGCTTTTAATAGTATCAATCAACTAAATCAAGAGGACTCATCTAAGCGAAGGAACATGGTACGCCTGGTAAGGCACGCGACATCAGTCGTTCCAAATAAATTGTGTAGAAAGCTCTCTTTTACAAAGTAACAGAAAAGCCATTCTCGCACGTGTCCCTTGCTTAGGGATCATTAGCTCCCCGCCGCTGGTCCATCTGAAGAATGGGCGAAGAGAAGACCAACGCTGCCATTCCGCAGCACATATTTAAATATAATCGATGTTTACGCCAAAGCAATAGCTTCAGTTAGCCCATTGCTAAAAACACAATTCGCTACTTGCCGATGCAGGGTAGTAATACTTTCTCACTTTTACCCAGCCCAATTCGTGCTTTGTACTGGAACTGTCTATGTATAGGTACTCTTCCCAAGCCCTAAGATTCTGTGAGGAGAGAAAGATGAATTCCTAGGCTCCTTGAAAAAAGCTGTCATACTCCTCTCTCTCAGAGCTTTGCGAATATCCTCATTGGCAGACACACTCTAGACAACTGAACAGCCCAGCTCTTTCTCCACACAAACTCTCGCGTCATCGCCACTAAAGTTATTCACTCGTACAGTTCGTCAAACCGATTACGAGCGTTGCTGGAGGTACTTCGGAGGGCTAAATACCTTGAGGTCTATCCCGGTTGTTTCGTTGAAGCTTTACGGCTTGACACGGTGGGCCCATCACACGGTAGTATTGATTTAGCAGTAGAGTTTTGTTACGTCATCCATATTTATCGCGATACCTGGTATAATACCTCCGGCTTACAGTCACTATTCAGTTTAACCAGATATAGCATGAGCAATCGCTCACTTTCAATATCAGAAACCGCATTCGCGGATAAGACGTTTCATCCCGTATCCAGTCGACAGCTCATAAGAGAGAGGCAGAATGATGAGGTTAATCGGTACGAGCCGCTCCTGAACAGAGACTCTTTAAGATAATGCTATCTGTATCGCCTACAGAAGCGGTTCTAATGTCGTTGCAGCACTAAAAATTCTCGATTCTTGGGCATATTTCTTGAGTTACCACCCTTGATCAGCGAACGATTAGTTAACAATCGTTATGACCAGACTGTAAATGTCTGTTTGGTAGGTGCGACACCTTCAGAATGGTTGATTCGAATTTTCATATGATGGAATTGTTTCTTTTACAAATAACTGCATGAAAGTTCGGAACCTAGCGCGCGGTTCCGTATCTTATAGATTGCGAGCGGAAAAGCTGTTGCACTGGTTGGAGCATATCCGAAATCGTGTACACCTCCGCTTTTCTCATCAATAGGTCTAACGCGGACTGCCCGTCCGTATACACGCACTTACCGAAGAAGGCTTGAATCATTTAACACGCTTCACCGCGTTTTGCTCACTTCCAGCGAGTCATCGATTTACTTGAACGAGGAGAAAAAGGTGAAGTGACATATATCATGGCCAATAGGCCTCAAACACTCCCTAACTGATAAGTATCCCCAATTCTGATAAAAGAAATTGAGGAATATACAATTATGCAATATATATAGCTGATGTTAATCACATACAGAAGTATGTGGCTTACACACGATGAGCCGGCGAATTTAGTTCCATCTTGAAAGGCAAATGACTTTTTAATCGACGGATATGTTTGCATTGTGAAAGAAGCGAGTATTATAGAGGTGAGCTTGACTTCAAAAGCTACAACTATTTCAGGCCTAGCCATACCGACATAGCTCAAGGGAAACAATAAGAGTACAGCCGTGCACGCATAATTAAAATTATTCTAGCCATTTGAACACGACTTACGTGTACTTTTTTGAGCAGTATCCATCGGCGGGCGCATGATGCACTAACGAGGTGCATCTGTGCATAACTGCCAAATAAAGAGTTATCTATCAGCAAGAATTGCAGACCGATTGGCTGCGCAAAAAACATTGACGAAAGCTTCCACTCTGTAGTATAAAGAGTGTAACGGGTCAAGTACTGTAATTTTGTGTACTTGACCCTTACACTTGTTGTACAATTCATACACTGGGGTGTAATTGTGAATATTATGCATTTCGGAATGGCGGTATAAGGAAATGTTTGGAAAAGGAATGGTTCAAATTTCACGTAGTAATATTGTCATCTCAAGATATTAACCCTTCTAAAATTAATGCAGCTGTATTTATCCAATTTTACAAATTCACATACACTCATCTATATTGAAATATCGGTATTTATAAAAAAATGAAAACTCCAAAAGAGCGCATGTGGTAAAAAGAGACGTATTTTAATGAAATACGGTACAACGTATATGATTTAGTATTAGTATAATAAAATTAACTTTGGATATATGTGTTTTCGAAATACAAAGAGAACTAGCAATTTCATTTCTCTATAATGCTCTCCTGGTTAAAGTGCACGGAGTCATCCTCTGTGCATTTCCTTAGCGACTCTGAGCTTTGTAGTTTTCTTAGTTTAATGAGCACGGCAACCCGTGACATTGTCACTATCGGTTTCTTCCATATTACACTTGAGATCTTCAGCGGTCACAAAGAACAAAATCGTACAAATACGGTGACAAAAGCGTGGGATCTTTTATGTAACAGCGGAATACCTCGTGGCACTGACAGAAGCAAATATTAAATTCAATAGAATAAATACACATTTTCCACACAATTTGTCATAGTTTCTCTTTGGTTCTCGCTCATGTTAACCTTGCGCTGAATTTACCTCTTCCTTTGATAGTTCTGCTAGCCAATGCAAGCAAAATTACGACAGCTTATATCAAAATGTGCTGGGTCGCACCAGACTGGGATTTTCAGGGTAAGGGTACGAACGAGATCAAAGTACTTATTGTTTGGATGTCCTTGTGTACGAACACGAAGCTCCATGTCTTGCATCCAACACTGAGTTTGCTTTAACTTCAGTCGGCTCATAAGCAAAATCTAAATGATTTGCTCGTAACTAATTTCCCTCATTAACACCACGGGTATTCACAAGCTTATTACTCATGCCATAGCAGCAAAGCAACATTTTATTAATATTGGGAAAATAGGTTTTGTGTCTTTTTGAGAATCCTACAGGAGATTTTGGAAAAAGTAAGTGCTTCAAGAGAAGAAAATCACATTCCTGCAAAATATTTTCTTTCAAGGTCGATCCAGTTAACATACAACTTACAAAGCTCGAGTATATCAGAGCCTAAATATGCCACACAAAGAACAAGGTGATTGTTTGGATATATACCATAAATTATTACTCGTCATCAGATATTGAATACTGCGTGCAATTAACAAAAAGCGCTAATTCTCATGAGTTTGTTTGTTGATTCTCGCAAATTACCATATAAAGATTACGGAAACTGTCACGATTTACTTGCTTCAAAGAATCTTTTGCTCACTGGTGAAAACAACGAGCGGTTCTAACCTTTCAAATTGTCGATTTTTATCAAACTGAATATGAAGTCAAATCTATTTATCAGTACGCGTCTCCCGCCATCAAATGAAGAATGTAAGCAATTTGCGAAGTAAAATCGACACTCATCTTTACAGTACAGCTCGTGAGATAGATGCTTCGGGTCTCCGTCGTATGTTGCGTGCAGCAAATTGAGTTATCAAGTAAAGCGTTGACTTATCTCGATTGATTCGTGTCTGGTTACAAACTTAGTCGACACTTGCAATTAGTTTGTTGTCGTAAGGACAAAAGGAACGTGATGCTAATCCAGAATAAAAATAAATCATTTACCGTACTATCTTATACGCGAGTTTGTGCAGTGTAGCTTGAACGTATATCCCCAGCGCTTTTTTTTCGAAGGATCTCATGACTGTATGGGAATTTCGTCGTGTACAATTACTTGTGTAATCGAAGACGTAAGAAATTGACTGATGCATTTTTGAGTTTTAAGTTGCCAGCGAGTTTTGGTCTGAGAAGACTCGCCTGCGTAATGGTCTTTGAGAAGTTGAAGAAAGTAATGTATTTTAGGGTCGTTACTCAGACACAGCTATGGGAACACAAATGTGACCTTGATGCCGCGATCAAATGCATTAAATTTGTGCAATTTCAAAACTAATGTTGATCAATGCGTGTGTTTCGTTGCATATTTGAGCAAATGTGATATGAGAGTGTATACTAATTGATTTACCTTAAAGCTTAAAATTTGAACAACACTCACTATCCCTTATGAGCGTACATATCGACTTCGATCAGCATTTGAGCATATGGCAATTGGAAACGTCTGCGCGTGGAATTTGTTGGGAATGACAGCAATATGACGAATGATATGTCATTTTGTATTATCGTGGTAAAATATATTAATTCAATCAATTTAATATTTTACTGAATAAAAATGAGTGGTGGACAAGCATTGTTCCCACAGAGTCATAGTTCGTCGTTATTTCAGTTCTAGTTTTCATCAATGTGCCGTGCATTCGACTTAGCCACTACCCTCTTCATCGTAATCAGTCCCTGTGCAGCTGCTGATTTCGAGCAGATCAAACCTTTTGATGCGCAAGCCCATGACATCTTACCAAACGGTGTTACTGACACGAAGCCGTCACCAAGAAGGTATCTTAAACGGAGCGATGATGACGTGTCTCCCGCAACGGCTGAGGAAGAGCGCGTTGTCATTCATGATCTCCTTGATGAGGCAGGTCAAAAAGCCCTTTTGCCGTACGAACATTTCAACACAAACAGCATTGATGACTCAACCTAGGTGATCATGAAAAAGGAAGACGTGGCCTCTTTCGCCGTTTTGAGAGACAAAAAAATTGAACCTCTCCAAAAGAAGTACAACGACGCTATAGATAAATACCAGCAAGCTGTCGGCAGGCTTCAAATGGCTATAACCGATTCCATAAAAGAACACCAGGCTGCCTATGAAGCTAAGGAAGATTTTCAAGCTGCTTCGGCTTTTATCGTGCCCACAACGATCGCAACACTTACACAGTCCTCTCCGTTAAAGCCAGAAATGCTGCCCAGGATTACATAAACGCTCTAGTCCTCTACAATTTCTACTCCGCTCAAGTCACCAAATTCAACAAAGCCGCCGACACTGTCAAAACCAATGAACAACGCCTATTCCTCAAAGACGCTAAGGAGAAAGCAGCCGTACGTGCGTCCGTGCATTTCAGAAACATGCAAACCGCCCAAAACTATCAAGATCGTTACGGCCGCCGTGCCTTATATTTCTATGATATGGTCAAGCAGAAGGAAGAAAAGTATTTTGACCACTTGAAAGAACGCGACAATTACAAATTGTTAGCCGGAAGAGCCATTGACAAGTTCCGCCTTTCCACATATAAGGCTCGTGTGGCTGACAAAAAAGCAGGCGTTGCCCAAGCTATGAAGGTTGCTCTACTAAAGAAGGTCGAGGACGCCAAACAGGAACTCGAAGCCGCAAGAGGCGAGAAACCCACTCATGGCCCCTAGAAGGTTAAAGCTATTCATGCGGAAAATATCAGCTAAGCTCCGTCAGAACAGATCACTGTCGACTTACGTTAAATCATCAGTCACTTCATTCGTCCTGTGTAGCTAGACTAAGTTGAAATATAAAAAAATGACGATATAACCCACGACACTAATTTGGGTGGATCTTTAATCTTCGTGCTGCTATCAAACAAACCATTGTTGAAATACCCTTCCAACACGTAAATCATTGAATTGTTGCTAAAGGTTATAATGCCCTTCTGACGAACGGTTATGCTAATGCTTCGTCAGGATGTTCAGAATAAATATATATGTATTTTCATTACAAGTATGTTAGAGAACTAATTTCATTAACTTCCTATGTCAAGTATGTTGGAAGGTGATGATGCAGTTTTGTACATACATAAGGCTTACGAAGTGGATTTGGTGCTGAAACTGCACACCATCCTTAACCGAAAGCCTATAAACGGAGCGTACCATGTTTTGGTATACGCACAAATTACACTATCGTTTCAGACTTGAATGTATCTCAGAATCACCAAAAAACTAGTACAGAAAAGAATGATGGAACAAACGGAATTGCCGCGAGACTAAAGGATATAAGAAGGGTAGAGGTAGAAGTGATGTGTGCTTGTGTATGCAAATGCAGAAGTGAGTGTATTAATGTCAGACGCAATTGTGTAGGCCCACGCGCAACTGCCTTGCGGGCCACACAATATGCTAAACCTAAGTCAAAGCTATTAACACATCCTAAGGTATGTGGAACACTCTAACTCAGCCTTTGCGCGAACCTAAAACAAGTACACACTTAAAATATGCAGTCTTAACCATAACGGTTAAACACGCACTAACAATCCTTAGTGGGAATTGAACTCACAACTTGCCGTTTAGCATTACGATGCTAGAACACTTGAGCCAGTCACCATAGCTCATGACTTAGTGCAAACATTGGATA